CATTTGGGAAATTTCCCAGATACCCAGTCATTTGGGAAATTCCCCAAATTCCTATAGGTATTTGAGGGTGGTATATTTTTAAGATTTTGGAAATTTCTCAAATGCCTGGGTACTTGAGAAATTTCACACATACCTAGGCATTTGGGAAATTTCCCAGATACCCAGGCATTTGGGAAATTCCTATTTTTGACATTTTTGATAATTGCTGTCACTCCCTCTTTTCTACATATTTCTACTTATCATTTTGTTTAGCAAAACTTAAACTTAACATGGTTAACATTGTACATGGTTACCTACAAAGGATGCTTTTTAGAACTCGTAATGTTTATTTGATTTGTTTTATTATTCCATGTAAAGTTCAAACTGTTCATTTCTTTGCAAAATCAATGAATAAGCCATTGTTCAAGAGAGAAGCATTATATCTGATCGTAATATTATCAGAGATTTAGGTCGTCTTCACAAACTCATCCTTTGAAGGTATACCTTATACCTTAGATGCTTTTGTTTTCTCACAAAATAATACTGGATATTTTTAGGGAATTTATAGTGTGCTGCATAGAGCAAATCAACGAATGTATACGCAATCCTGCGTAACTAGGGATTTACTTTGTTTTGAGTCCGTTATTAAAGGGAGTGACCGGGTAGACATGGTAGTTGAGCCAAAAGTGCAGTATTGTAGAGAATCTTAAACATTTGTCGAAGTTTTTTTAATGCAAGTGTACAGCGTTAGATACGTAAACATATCGTGATGTATACAACCGACCGCTCTATTAATTAATTAATTATAGCGAGGTCGGTTGTATGCATCTGAGCTAAGCTTTACCTCTTCGCTTTATTACTCTTATGTTTTTCTTCAATACTGCACTCTCAGCTCAACTACCATGTCTTCACTCCCTTAGACATTCATGGTTTTTGGGCTTTACAGAGCTTGAAGTGAATCTAAGACGCGTATCCTAAATTGTATGCTGGATAGTTTGTTTACAGAGCTTGAAGTGAATCTAAGACATGTATCCTAAATTGTATGCTGGATAGTTTGTTTTCATTATGCAAAGTCCAGTGATCAAAAAGGTCAAGCAAAACGATTTTTCATATTCATAATTTATTTGAAAAATCATTTAATATCTTTGTTTAGAGAAAAAATAATCTTAAAAAAGAAAATAAAATTGTTCTGTTGGATCAATATTTAAGATTCTTTAAGATGATTTATAAAACCAAAAACTTTAAATTAAAAAAATCCACGGACCTCAAAACGATGACCATCAGAATGCGTGTTTCTGCGTAATTCTGCGTAATCCTGTACACTCTTTACACTCCTGGTAAATGCATTATAACATACCAACCAGGTACCAACACCGTATGTTTAGGTCATGAATTAACCCCTCTCTCGTATTTTGATTTTGTTATTATTGCCAATTAGGAGAAATTAGATTATTTTGGCGGAAAATAAAAAAATTTAGGGAAAAGTTTTTTAAAATAGAAAACTTTTGATTTGATGTTTATTTTTTGTTTAAAACATAATAGGAGGAGTACACTTGAAATTACGTCCCTCTCACTCCTTTTTAATTATTTTTAAAATCCTTTATTAATCTTATTTTAAATATATTTTTTTAGATTTTAGGATAGACTTAAGTAATGCCGTGAAGTACAAACTTTATACAACTGCCGAGTGTGATATTACGATAATTAGTCAATTTTTACTTATTTATTTGTTTGTTTATTTATTTTTTATTTGCTACCATTATATACAGTTGGAATTCTAAGGTTTTTAATTCAAATATTGTGTGATTGTACTTGTTGCTTTCATTTCTAAAATATCGCTTTGACTCAGATTATCTGAAATAGCAATGTTCAAATATGTGTTATTACGGGGGGGAAATCGCGAAAAAGGTTCTTCATTTTTAAATGTCGTCTTTCTCTGTCAAGTTATCTAATAAGAACGAAACTATATCGAATGGAGATATTGCCGATTGGACTAACGTAAAACTTTAAAGTCAGCTGTTCACAAACCGGTTTTTGAACGTTGGTCCAAATGGACATTAGTCTAATCGATCATTAGTCCAATTTATATGACGCCATAATAAATATCCATTTCAGAGATTAATGCTTTTTAATGTGGGTTGTCAGATTTTAATACATGGATACACATTAGGTTTTGGGATTTCTTATTGGTAACATGCTTGCGTTGCACCTTCTGATTGACCCATCCTTGTGAACAGTTTAATAAATTAAGATATATTTTAAAAGTCGTCTTCGTTTTAAATCACAATATTGCGTGGGCTTTTGTAAGAAAAAGCAGTAATCTTGAATTCCAACTGTTTCAAGTAAATAAAATGTCACTGAAAGTGAAAATAAGTATTTTATTTTATGTTTTCTTTTGACTTTTATGAATTTTATTCGTGTATGTGATATCCCGTCATTTCATTGTCATCATCAGCTTTTATTCTCTTAAAATCTGATAACATGTAATTCTATATCTAATATATATCATTATCAAATAAAGATACTTTCATTAGAGATTGTGTATTACGAAGGGTTATTCTGATTAGGTTAATGCAGAGATAAGAGAATAATAGATCAATTGAAACCTAGAAAAAGCTATATTTTCCACAGCAGGTTCTATTGTGTACAAGTACTGTAAACCACCTTAATCAGCAGACACCTATATTCATTGATATTAAAGGAGCCTTTGGATACGAAATACTAAATCTTCAAAAATATACTAAATTCATAAACTTGATGTTTCATGTTATATATTGGATTATTTCTTTAAAAGTTGTAAAACCTAACCCCTGAGTAAGTATTATATGGAACAAGTGGCCGTTAGATGGCAGTCCAAAACCGTTCATGTAACTTGAGCATGGCTTGTCGGGACACTATAGGCCTGCTCAGCCTATTCAAGTAGAGCATATACGCAGTATGGTTAGTCTGTGATTGTCTCTACAGTACATAAAACAGAGTTAACCTTACAAGATGAAACTGAAAAGAACTCCTCAAATATATCAAGTTAAAATTAAGTCTTATGCCTCGAATGTGGTCTTTATTGCCATTCATAGAGTCTTTAAACGGCTTACTTAATGATTTGGCAAGAATAGACCATAGTAAATAAATAAACATAAGTAGCTTATGTACGCAAAATCACCAAGAATTATACAGTCCGCGAACTCAAACTTCTAGGGGTCAAAGTGGACTTCTATGATAAGCGGGGTGGTTTGGTGTTTTAATGGATTTCATAATTATTAAACCACTCAGGAGTGAAATTTATTTTGAGAATATCAAATTATTTCACTGAGCAATATATCATATTGATGAGAACTGAAGAAAGACATGAGAAGGACTAAACTAACTTAAATTTCTCTCTACAGAACTCATGTACACCACAAGTACTCAATGACATAAGAACAGCCAATGTTCACAACCGACCTAGTTAATCTATATAATAGGAATATCTTTAAAACATCTCTGTACATTTATATCTTTCAAGATGAAAAATGTCGTCTTATGCGCAATCTATCTTTATCTATGGTT